AACTCTTTCTGGAACAAACTGTTTCTCAAGATGAAAGGGACAAGGAGAAACTGTTGTAAAGGAATTAAAAGCAACATGCAAATTAACCAAACCCGGGGAAGGAGCAACATAAACAAGCTGTTTCCTGAGACAGGGGAGATAACAATTGCTTGATAAACTGCTGCCTCATGACAAATGGGCAATTAAGCCTGCCCGCAGAAGGAATGTCCTGAAGTAAGGGGGTTAATTGCAGGAAAAGCTATGTTTTAAACACACAGTTAGCCCCAAATGTAACAAGGAACAGGGGAGCTACTTCTGGTAAGAAGGCAAGCCATAGACTTGAAGTCTCCAAAGGAGTAATCAATGTTGAGGATGAAAGAATCTACTGAATCATCATAATTGCTACACCGCAAATTTGAAAGAGAGAAGATTGTATAAGAATCCAACAGCAGAATAATTCATTGGCCGAACTTCAAAGAATAACACTGCATAAGGGTCGAACCCTGGAGACTTCCAGAGACAGACACTGTTGGTGGAATCCTGTCCAAGTCCACCATTAATTGGGAATGCCCAAGTTAGGTTGGGAGGCTTAACTTGGTTGCTTGAGGGGTCTTATTTTGGTTGCTATATGCAATAAGTTTAAATCATTTTTTTCAGTATTTGATTGTCTATGAGATTTCTTAATGAGTATCCAAATTAAAGGTAACTTGTGGTGTTTTCCCACAACATAGTAAACTTCCTCCCATGCTCTAATTTATTATCCCTGGTTAATCTTTTAGTCATTGTCTGTTCTTTGTATTCTGACCAGTCATTTGATCTGCCACTCATGTTTGCATGATTACATGCTTTTTTGTTCAGTTTGAAACTCTACTTAACTGCTTTAGTTAATCACAGATCGTGGGCCCCAGCCCTTGGAATTTTTCTTTATACCACAAACATGCTTATTCTGAATATTGCAAAATATCTCGATAAATGCCTGCCACTCTGTGTCTCCTATCTATCTACTAACCCAATATGAGGATTGATTAATTCATTTGGCTGGGCAGGTAGTTTGCTAACAGCATGGGTTCAATTCCTGCACTGACTGAGGTTATCATGAAGAATTCTCCTTCTCAACCTCTCCCCATGGCTGATGTGTGATGACCCTCAGGTTATCCATCGCCAGTTGACCTCTGGTTTGGTGAGACTAAGGTGACTTTTTACCTTTTCATATTCCAGTAGAATACGTGGAATGTCTTACAAATTTAAAGTATTACAACAAATAGCAAGGTGGTACTATGGGCACAGAACATACACACGTAAAGTGTAGGATTATGGGGAAATTCAGTATATTGCAAAATCTCATTAATTTAATTTTCACTTAAAATTCAGAGATTGAAAAGCACTAGCAGAGCCTTGGTGGTCTGAACAATCTTATTACCTGAGCCTACCCACTAAAACAGCAGTACTTAACTCAGACTCATAGACATTTGCAGCACAGAAGGAGGTCATTCAGAGGCCCATCGTATCCATGCCAGTGAACAAAGCTCTGACTACATCAGTCCCATTTTCAAATTTTTGACCCAGAGCCCTGGAGGCTAAGGCAGCACAAGTGGCTATCTAAATACTGCTTAAATGATGTGAGATTCAACCACACTTTCAGGCAGTGAGTTTCAGACTCCCATCACCCTCTAAGTAAAAGAAATTCACCTCAACTTCCCCCTTGGCCTTCTACTTTATATCTTAAATCTATGCCCTTGGTATTGACTCTTCTACTAATGGATAAAGTGCCTTCCTATTCATCTTATCAATGCTCCTCATAATCTTATATACCTTTATCAGGTCCCCTCTCAACTTTCACTGCTCCAACGAAAACAATCCCCAACTATCCAATCTTTCCTCATAGCTCAGACTTTCTAGCCAAGGCAGCATGCTGATAAATCTCCTTCGCGTCCTCTCTAGTGCAGTCGCATTCTTCTTATATTTGGTAATGTGTGTTGCTTGATATGTATGAAACTTTAGCTACTGTGTGATTTTGGTATCATCAAGTCTGCAACCCTTAAGGTTTCTGTTATGAATAACTCCAATAGAAAAATATAACCCTTATAGCTAAAGCCTTTGGAAGTGCATATAGCTTCATCTTTTATTTGTTGCCAAGGGGAATCTGTAATAGCCTTCAAATGTAATTTAGTTTAGTTGAGGTGAAACATCTCCTGGTTCTTCATGTATTATATGCCATTCCTGATCAAGATGAGTGTTTTGCTGAGGTGTTTTGCAAAGCCAATCTTAAACACATGTAAAATTCTGGCCAGCAGTTTAAATGCTGACATTGGCTAGGTTCAATATGGAATCTCATACATAATAAATCATGTAATCCTCAAGCAGTTTCTTCGGCAACAGCATCACAATGTTAAATTAATAACTACAGTTTTAATATTCTTTCCAATACTGCTGTCCAGCAGTCTGCAGAAAGAACAAAGTGCCAAATTTCAAATGGAGTGAGTATAGCAAAGAGTAAGTAATAAAGTTTTAAAATCTTGGTGCATTTTGAGCTAAAACTGATGTACTTGCCAAAATCCCGATCTGCCTCGATCCCCTACAGTTTGCCTACCGACATAACAGATCCACAGAGGATGTCACTTTCCTAGCCCTGCACTCATACCTGGAACATCTGAAAAACAGACACCTACATCAGACTCCTCCTTATGGACTACAGCTCCGCCTTCAACACCATTATCCCTTTTAGACTGATGTCAAAACTGCGTGACCAAGGTCTCGGCTCCGCCCTCTGCAACTGGATCCTCAGCTTTCTGACCCATAGGCCACAATCAGTGAGGATAGGTAACTGCACTTCCTCCACAATAGCGCACAACACTAGAGCTCCCCAAGGATGCGTCCTCAGCCCTCTACTGTATTCCCTGTACAACTACAACTGTGTTGTCAATTTCTGAAAGAACACCATCTACAATTTCGCTGACAACACTACTGTAGTGGGACAGATATCTAACAATGACAAATCAAAGTACAGAAGGGA